AGAGTGCAGAAGTGGGCAGCACCCACGATCTGGCCATGCAGAATGCAGCTTCTCCTCAGATGCCCTTCCTGGAAGCACTACTCTGCTTGCAGGGAATTTGCCAGTATGAGTTTGGAGGTCATCTTTTCTTTCCTGGGAAATCTCCCTGTCTCACCCAGCTCCCTGACTCCCTGGCTGGGCCAGAAGGAGCTGAAGGGGCCACTGGGGCAGGCAGCAAGACCTGCCCCTGCCTTGCCCAAGGCCAGGCCCTTCCAGCCCTCTGGTGCTTGCTCTCACAGAGGCAACTGGGAGGTAAACGGCAAGACAATTGCCCCCTATAAGAAGGGCGCCTGGTGTTCGCTCTGCACGGCCAGCATCTCGGGCTGCTTCAAGGCCTGGGACCATGCAGGCGGGCTCTGTGGTAAGTGTCCCACTCGGTTGCCTCCTCCTGGAGCACTGGGTACATGAGAGCTTCATCTAGTGACCTTGGAGGAGGGTGGCAGCATCCTGAGGGGCTGTCCCGGATGCCCTGGGCCTCAGCACCCAGAGAGGCACCTGCCTGGGGAGGGACCCCCCCAGAGTTCCCTCCTTGTCTGACCAGAGGTCCCCAGGAACCCATGTCGCATGAGCTGCCGGAACCACGGACATCTCAACATCAGCACCTGCCACTGCCACTGTCCCCCTGGCTACACGGGCAGATACTGCCAAGGTGAGGGGCACCTGGAGTTCCAGATCACAACTGCCTGGGGGACGCAGTGAGTGAAGTCTAGGCCCAGCACACGCGCAGGCAGCCCCTGGGGGTAAGGAGGGACTGAGCTGGGATGCTAGCACACATGCTCGCGTGGTGTGGCCAGGGGCTGTGTTGCGCTCATTGAGAGGGTTTCGAGGGAGTCTTGAGTGAGTCAGAGGGTGCTGACCGTGTATTTGCTGATCTGCACACTGCATATAGTCATTCAACAAGCATTCATTGAGCACCGACTGTCTGCCAGACCCTGAGCTGTGCAGGGGGTTTAAAGTGGAATCAGATTTGGCCCCTTAGGCTCTGGGGTGGTGGGAGGAGGAATTAGGATCCACAAGTGGATTCTTGTCCCACTGTGCCCCCTCCCCAGCTCTGTGCCATGAGCAGATCACCTTCCAAACCCCAATTTGCTTCTCTCTACAATGAGATCAAACCAAAAAAGCCAAGGGTGGCAGCGGTTGGAAGGCCTGATGGGTTCTGTCCCTGTTCTTGCTGTGGTTGGCCATTCCCTGCACATCTGTAGCCTGAGGGGGGCAGCATGCCGTCCAGGGATTGCAGGCTGAGCGCCATCCCCTCTTGCCCCGTCCTGGCAGTGCGGTGCAGGGTGCAGTGTGTGCATGGCCAGTTCCAGGAGGAGGAGTGCTCCTGTGTCTGCGATGTCGGCTACGGGGGAGCCCAGTGTGCCAGTGAGTCCTGCCCCAAGGCCCCGATGAGTCGGGCCCCTCCCAGGACCCCCTCTGTGGAGTGCTGGGTCCAACTCATACCAGCTCACAGGAGCCCATTGTGCGCAATCTCTTCCCAACTCCCCATTCAGTAACATCACATTGTTAGCTTGAAATTGACCATGGTGGGGATATTCACACCACAGAGATTGGCAAATGCTACATACCATAGGTTTGTTTTTCTTTTTTTTTTTTTTGGTGAGGAAGCTTAGCCCTGAGCTAACATCTGTGCCCATCTTCCTCTATTTCGTACATGGGGTGCTGCCACAGCAAAGCTTGATGAGCGGTGCATAGGTCCACGCCTGGAATCCGAACCCGCAAACCCTGGGCCACTGAAGCAGAGTGCACGAACTTAACCACTATGCCACCGGGCCGGCCCCCCCCATAGATTTGTGTGTGTGTGTGTGTGTGTGAGGAAGATCAGCTCTGAGCTAACATTCGACGCCAATCCTCCTCTTTTTTGCCGAGAAAGATTGGCCCTGGGCTAACATCCGTGCCCATCTCCCTCTACTTTATACGGGACGCTGCCATAGCATGGCTTAGACAAGTGGTGCGTCGATGTGTGCCTGGGATCCGAACCTGTGAACCCCAGGCCGCCAAAGCAGAGTGCGCACACTTAACCACTACGCCACTGGGCCGGCCCCTCCATAGATTTTTCTTTTAGAGAGAGAGCTGGTTGTTACACATTTTCTAACACACCACTGACCCCCACCCCCTCTCCAGCTTGGAGCCGGTGGCCAGAGGAAGGGGCATCTTGAGCTTAGCTCCCTGGCAGGGCAGAGGGGTAACGATTCTGAGGTCCCCACACACGAACTCAGGCTTCCCTCCCCCCAGCCAAGGTGCACTTTCCCTTCCACATCTGTGACCTGAGGATTGACGGAGACTGCTTCATGGTGTCTTCGGAGGCAGACACCTATTATGGAGCCAAGATGAAATGCCAGGTGACAGCTGACCCCTGACTTCTCAGGGACCCCCCAGGGTCTCAAGCAAGGGTCTTAATGGGGGGACCCTGGACTAAGAGATGGTTCCCTCGTCTTCTCTTGAGCTGCCTCTCATCATTAGTATAAAGCAGGGGTCACAAACTCAGAGGCCCGTGGAAGCCCGGAGGTCACTTAATGAGCTGAGGGACCCAGGGATGAGGCCCCAGTCAACCGCCATCTAAGGAGCCATCCTGAGTCAGCTCCAGCTGCTGGCTGCCAGGCAGGAATGCGAGTTCAGAGAGGCCAGAACTTGGGATTTTTCGACAGAACCAGAAATTCAGATTTTCATTGGCATCTCTTGATTTACTAATGTTGGCAACCAATTCAAATGCATTTAAGACACTGAGCAGGTGAAACAAAACACTTCCGAGGGTGGGACCCTGACAGCCTGGGTCCCTGTGCACAGAAAGAGGAGTTGCAGGCAGGGGAGAGGAAGGGGGACCCCTACTCTAAGAGGCAGGAGGCTGGGGGGGTGGGGATGATGACAGCCCGGCCAGCACACAGATTTGACATCCATGACCGGGAAGGGCTGGCCTGAGCTCTGGGGCCCTGCCAGCATGACCCAGAGTGGGGGTTACAGGGAAAGGGCGGGGTGCTGGCCCAGATTGAGAGCCAGAAAGTGCAGGACATCCTCGCCTTCTACCTGGGCCACCTGGAGACCACCAACGAGGTGACCGACAGCGACTTTGAGACCAGAAACTTCTGGATCGGTGAGTGCCTGGCTGGGTGGGGGTGCGGTGAGGGCAGGGGCTGGGTACCCCACACTGCTCCAGGAATCCGGGCAGTGGAAACCCAGAGCACTCACCAGCAGACAGTAAGGGTGTGTGTAGTGAGGGCTTGGAGCCCAGAATGGGTCAGTAGTTGGGCTGGTGATCCCCTTCCCTGGGGAGAGCGCTGAGGGGAGGGAGAACCACCAGGGGGTCTGGAAGAGCTGGGTTAAGGCCTGGGGGCTGGACAGGCATTCAGCAGGGAGCCTGGGCTCTGAGTGGCACTAACCTTGGCTGCTGTGCCCCAGGGCTCACCTACAAGACCGCTAAGGGCTCCTTCCGCTGGACCACCGGGGAGCACCAGTCCTTCACCAGTTTCGCCTTCGGGCAGCCTGACAACCAGGGGTGAGTGTGGGGTGCCTTCCCTCCCCTGAGCCCACCTTCTCACCTGAGCCTGTTTTTGCTGAGCCTCCCGACACCACTGAAGAACCTCTACCGGCCTGCTCCCTGGCTGAGCCCTCTGAGGGTCTGGGCCTTACCTGGTGCCCAAGAAGTCTGGGCACATCTGGGTGTGGGTGTGATGCTGAGGTGATGCACATTCCTGGCCTCCTCATAAAGGAGAAGGAACCCAAGAAGCCTTCATCCATCCACCAGTCCCGTCGTCCCCTCAGCTGTCCCTCCATCCCTCCATTATCTATCCACCCCTCCCCCCACCACGCTCCCTCTGCCTGTATCAATACTCCGGTTCCAGCATTCTTTAGCTATTCACCCACCTGCATCCATTCACACACACATCCACCCACCAGCCAGCCTGTGTGGAGGGTCTTCTGGTTATGTGGCCCTGGCCTGGTCCTCAAAGCCCAGGAATGCCCAAGGCAGGGGTGACAGGGGTGAAGGTGGTCAAACTGTGTGGCCACCAAGGGCTCCAAAGACCTTGCCTAGCCCTCCCTCGACCTCCTTGGCAGCAGCCAGGCCGATGCCCCTGGCCTTCACCTAGAGGAAGTCAGCTGGTCAGGCTCCCGGGCACACCTTCTCCCAGCTGGAGACTGGATGGACGTGGGCTTGTGTGTTCCAGGTCCCACCCCCCCCACATTGGCTGGTGTGGCTGAGTGCTGGCGGTGGGTAGATGGAGTTGGTACCCCAGGTAGGGGGTTTGCTGAGACCTCCCGGCTACAGTGGTCTGGCGAATGGGCATGGGAGCATGAGGATGTCTGGCTCCCAGAAGCCCCATGTGCAGAATGGGGGCACCTAGGTCTCTTAGGTACAGGTAGCCTGCTGGGTGGAGGATTTCAGGCTCTCCCAGACTCCTAACTTCATTCCTCCACCCTGAGCACCCGACATTCGGCCCCGTAGGTTTGGCAACTGCGTGGAGCTGCAGGCATCGGCCGCCTTCAACTGGAACGACCAACGCTGTAAAACTCGAAATCGTTACATCTGCCAGTTTGGTGAGGCCCCTCCCACGGCTCCCCTCCTCTGGTCCCTGTCTCCTGGGGTACCCACTGGCCCACTCCAGGTGCTAGGATATCCAGGTCACAGGCTCAGAGGGTGTCCAAGCACACAGGGCCACCAAGGACATTTTGCTCAGGGCCTTGCTGTGCCTGCGGGCACCTGAGGCCCAGAGGAGGCAACACGGGCCCAGCTTCACACAGCACATCCACGCAGTGGCAGGAACTGCAGCCTGGCCAGGATTTCTCCACAGTCTCTTTCCTCCTGTCACTAAAGCTGCCACTTAGGGAACTGTCGTGTTCCCGGTGTCCCTAATTCCCTAGAGCCCCATGAACTATGTTTGTAGGGGGTGGGGGGGCAGAGGTGAAACCTGGCCCAGAGCTGGCTTCCAGCAGCACCTGATGGAAGGGTCTGGAGCTCCACGAGGGACCATGGCCATGGGTACTTCTGAACCAAGTGCAGCAGGGTCCCCGTCCCAGGACTGCCTGGGCTGCCACTGCCCCTCACTCTGTTCTGCTTCCTTTCCAGCTCAGGAGCACATTTCCCGGTGGGACCCGGGGCCCTGAGGCTCGACTGGGCATCTTCCCTGCCAGACCCGGGGTGGACCAGCCCTGCTTGCTTGTCTTCCCACTCTTCTGGAACAAGGGCCAGTCCAGGACCGCAGGCCTCACATCCGAAGAGGTCTTAGACCTTACTTGTAGTGAAGCCAATAGGGAGCCTGACGTAGGGGGAGGGGAGCCTGGGGCCCCTCAGCTGGCTTTTGATTGGGAAGATGGGCCTCAATTAGGTGCTGAGGCAGAAGCCAGGGCCAGTGGTCAGAAGAGAGCGCTCTCCTCCATCTGGGCCAGACCCTCTGCGGGAGATGGAGGTTCCTTGCTGCCCAGGATGTGCCCCACAAAGGATTAAACTAAGTTATGAATCAGCCAGACTCGAGAATGCTTGTTTTGAAGGGGAATTCAGACGATCCAGGATGATCCTGGGAAGACTGGAGGGTGCCTGAGGCTTCCCTGCTGGTTGCCTCCTACCCACCCCAGTCCCTTCACTGGTCACCCATGTGGCCCAGGCCCCCCTCTGGAAGTTTTTAGGTTCCCCAGTGGGGTAGGAGGCCAGACTCCCTGCCTCAGTGAGGGGTCTTTTTTTGCAGCAGCTCCCAGGCAGGCAGGGTGGAAACCACTCTGAGCTCCTGTGTGTCTGTGTCTTGTGTCCCCGGGTGGAATGCTTTCACAAATCCAGGACTGACAGCGGAACCAGAACCTGGAAAGTACCATCCCCTTGCCCAGCTCCCCGAACATCATAGCTCATCATAATCGCACTTACACGTGTCAGGCACTGCAATCAACACTTGACATCCTGGGCCGGCCTCCTGGTTTAGCGGTTAAGTGCGCGCGCTCCGCTGCTGGCGGCCCGGGTTTGGATCCCGGGCGCGCACCGACGCACCGCTTCTCGGGCCATGCTGAGGCCGCGTCCCACATACAGCAACTAGAAGGATGTGCAACTATGACATACAACTATCTACAGGGGCTTTGGGGAGAAAAAAAGGAGGAGGATTGGCAATAGATGTTAGCTCAGAGCTGGTCTTCCTCAGCAAAAAGAGGAGGATTAGCATGGGTGTTAGCTCAGGGCTGATCTTCCTCACAAAAATAAATAAATAAATAAAAAAGGATAACTCTTGTTTGCCTTCCTCTCCTCCTTCGTGGGGTTTGGGTCTAAGCTCTCTAATGGCAGCCTACATGTTTACTTAAGCCACTCGGCTTTATCTGCTGATGGATGGGTTACCACAGCCCTTCTCGGCTTCCTATTTCACACCTGACACTGGTCACCTCTCAGAATTTTCTTTTCCTTCTGAAGTGTAATTGAATCCATTTCACTACTGCTTCTGTGAACACTTTGGGACACTTCGACATGTAATTGAGCAAAATCTACGTTGCCTCCACTTTGAAGACGCCTGCCCTCACCAGACACCCGGATGCCCCACACTGAGAAGCTCCGATGTCAGGGTCAGAGGGGGATTCTTTCTTTAATTGTTTCCCGTGTCTCTTACCACGCACGTGTGGCTAAGTGACTAGACCTCACCTTTTCAGGAAGACTCAAATACCGCCGCAATGCTCTCCCCTCAGTCCACGCGCTCTCTCGTGCACAGCAGAGGCTTCAGCTGGCTCTTCATCCTCGCCGCCTCCCAGGGAAGTCTGCCCATTGGTCAGTTTCTGCTTACGGACTTGTTCTTCAGTAAGGAGACTTGATATATGTTTTCTTTCCTATAAGTTGCAGCTATAGCTGAATGAAACAAATTGTAACTGAATACAAGAAACGATAACTGAATACTGTCTAGGAAGCAGCTGATAAGAGAGGTCCAAACAGACATGTTTTCCTTACCTTTAGTGAGCGACTAGGAGACAATGACTGATGGAGGCTCTTGGAAGTTCAAACCAACATTGGAAGCCACCTACAAACTGTTTTTAGAGTTTTCCTTTTTCTCCACAGCAGAGCAAGAGCAATAGAAAATTCTCCACTGATAGCCGTCAGCAGCCCCCTTCACAGCACTCTCTTGGCTGCTTAGAAGAAGGAGCGATCCATTGCTTGTACCTAGACAGTGCCCGTTATGTCAGGCTTCTTCTGGAAGCGGTTTGCGTTAGTGCTGTCTGGGACTTACCACCGTCCTTTATAGGAACAACGACTGAGTCAGTGGTCCCTGTTAGGTAACTGAGCTGCTGTAAACATGTTTTGAAAATTAGGTGCCAAAAACTTGTACATAAATGTTCATAGCAGCATTATTCCTAATAGACAACAAGTGGAAACAACCCAGATGTTCATTAACTGATGAATGGATAAATAGGACATAGTATATCTGTACAATAGAATATTATCCAACAATAAAAAGGAATAAAGTCTGGTACATGGCATAACGCAGATGAACCTAGAAAATATTAAGCTAAATGAAAGAAGCCAGACATAACGGCCACGTATTGTATGATTCCATTTTCACGAACTATCCAGAATAGGCAAATCTATAAAGACAGAAAGGAGATGAGTGGTTGCAAGGGGCTGGGGTGGGATGTTGGGGAGATCTATGGGTTACTGCTGATTGGGTACGGGGTTTCTTTTTGGGCTGATGAAAATGTTCTAAAATTTATTGTGGTGATGGTTACACAACTCTGTGAATATACTAAATATCACTGAATTATACATCTTAAAAGGAGAATTGAATGATATGTGAGTTAAATCTCAATAAAGCTAATTTAAAAAGTTAGATGGCAGTCTCTGACCCCAGGGTAGCAGGTGAATCCTGTTCCGTGGGCATCAGGCATCGTCTTTTGTGGGGCACATACCCAAGGCAGGTCTGCGGAGCCTCCATGCCTTGGGACTCTGGGAACTGGAGGACTTTGTTATGGGATGACCTTTGGTTCCCTGATTTTTTGACATGAATCTAGTGCTCTGCCCCTTGATCCATCTTCTCCTCTCGAGCAGGGACATTCGTAAGTGCTAGAAGGCACTGATTTTTTTTGTTGTTGTTTGTTGTTTGTTCTCTAATTCCCTGCAAGGGGTGGGTGCTCAGTGATTTCTTCAGGGAGAAGGGCATCGGTGGGTGATCAGGAGAGCTGGAGAGCCTGTGCCACTGCTGACTTGAGGTGTGTCTTTGCCCCTCCCCACCCAGGTTCTCAAGCACAAAATAATGGGGCCAGACCCCATGACACAGGCTTTCTCCTGCCCCACAGCTATGTGATTTTCTAGAATTTAGTTGCTTCCTGGAGCACTTGGGTTGAATTTCTATTGGGCTAGAAGGAGGAAGGAAACAGCTCTGACCAGGGGCCACTGGTCACATATGGAGTATCTACACAGAAATTAATGAGAGGCATTGAGAAGTAGGGATGTGAGGACTTGCATTGAAGCTGTTTCATTACTTGGGGGGCAGGAGAATATGGAGATTATAGGGGTGCTAAAGTCCTCCCAAACTACTCCTCACCCCATGGGTGCCACCACTTGGGTTCTGGGAATGGGGCTGCTCCCCATGTGAGACCATGAGTTAGTGGGACTGGGAGTGGGAGATTGCAGGCAGTTGCCTCCACCTCTGAAGGGGCCTGCTCAGTCCTAGACACGGCTGCTGTCTGAGAGACAGAGACCCGGTGGAGCAAATGTGGGAGGGCCAGGAGGCCGGGACACCTAGCTGGAAGACTTCTGGAGACGCCCCATCTTCAGAAGTCTAAGGAGGCTTGGGTATGGGCCAGCTGCTCACTGGGAAGCCGATTTCAGGAAGCTACTTCCATCCATTATGCTGCCTGACCACCAAAGTGCTGCTCACCCAGAAACCAGACAGGGAGTTCAGGGAAAGGCCCCGGGTGCTAGAGTCAGGCAGATCCTGGCTCTGGGTTCAAATCCTGGCTCCGGCTCTGACCAGCTGCTTGATCCTGGGCACCTTATTCCCAGGATCTTTGAGACTCAGTTTCTTCATCTATAAAATGGGATAAAAATATTTATCTGGCACACAGTATAGTATACTTTAAACTTTTATTTATTAATAATTTGAATTTATTCATTATATTAAAATTTATTAAAATTTGGATTTAATTTTTAAAACACAAGAATTAAATACAAAAATTTAAAAGCTTCAAAAAATATACATTGAAAAGTCATCCCCCACTCTTGTTCTCCTTCCTGTTAGCAGCTGCATCATGGGGCAAATGTTATTAATGTTAATAGCTGCTATTTCTCAGGGGCTCACTTTGTGTCAGAATGGTGCCTTATAACTCACTGCATCACCTCTGTTTTGCAGACAGCGTTACCCCTATTCTGGGGCAGAAAGCAGACTCAGAGGGTGGAACATTTTGCCTCGCAATAAACAACCTGTAAAGAAAGAAGCCAGGATTTAAAAACCCAAGCGATTTCATGTTTGTAAATCTCCTAGAACAATGGATATTAACTCCTCACCCATGACCTGATGCCTTTCCATCAGGAGCTGGGCTGATAAGCTCCCTAGGAGAGAGCGGGGGAGGGTGTTTTTATATCCATACAGACATCAGACAAAACTGTAGTAAGAATAACCGTAGCAGGTGCCAGGCTAAGTCTGCAAAATTCTTTGCATGGATCATCTTATGTAAGCCCCAAACCACCCGCTGAGGTAGGTGCCGCCATTCCCATTTTATAGAAGACAAAACCGAGGCTCAGAGAGGTTCAAATGTTTGGTCAACTTCTTACAGCTTAGAAAAGAAGTAGCAGAGACGGGATTCAAACCCAGGCAGTCCAAAAGGAGAGCCTAAACTCTTCAACACTCGACTCTGTTCCCAGGAGAGGTGGCTAAGAGAAGGCAAAGGGTCAGAGGCCAGATGAGCAAGAGGGAGCTAATGTAATAGACCAGAAGAGTGTGGTGGGACCAGGGGAGGGAGGTCACCCTAAGGAAGGGGCGAGTATGAGACCTGAAAGGATAAGACTCGACAGTCAGGCGCAAGGGTTCTGGGGCTAGAATCCCAGAAATGAAAGAGATGATGTCTGTCTTCTAGGAGCTGGGGGTTTGTTGAGAGGACAAATATAAACCACACACGTGGGTGAAACAGAACAGGTCAGTAGTGATGACAGTATTACAGCTATCAGACTCGCTGTTCCGGTTCTCCACTGCTGCATAAAACCACCCCCAAACATATGGGTTTAAAACAACCATCATCTATTTTGCCCACAAACCTGCATCTTGGGCAGGGCTTGGTGGGGTCAGCTTGTTTCTGCTCCATGTGGCCTCAGTGGGGGTGGCTAGAGGGCTGGGGGTTGCAATCATCTGAGCATTCGCTCACTTACATGTCCGGTGGTTGAGGCTGGTCATCAGCCGAACGCCTAGATGTGGGCCTCTCCCTGCCGATGCTTGGCCTCCTCCCAGCACGGCTACCGGTAACATCGTTAGTCATTAGGGCATGCAAATTAAACCACAGTGAGATACCACTAC